CAACCTTTCTGGCCGCTGAGAAATTTGTAAACCCCCCCCCCCATAACTCTCTAAGTGGTTATGACCTAAAGTTTGAGCATCTCTGCCTTAAAGTTTGGAAATGGTGAAACAATAGCACCTTATCTTTCACTTTTGTTTTCTTTGTTCCTTGATCGCCAAAGTTTTAAGCACAGACTTTAAATAACAGTAAATAATAATACATTAGTTATTAGACCTTAGTATTAAATATTAAGCATTTTGGAACTTTTTATCCATGTCATACTTAGCATTAATTACACAACTTAAGCAACCTTATGTCCATTAACATCTTAAAAATCTTATTTAACATTGATATAATTTTCATCTTTAAAGGTTTAATTTATCTAAATCATCATAGTGTTAACAGTTTCCAGTTTTTATCGTATAAATACCACTGTATCCAGTTATGTACTATTCGTATTTTATAATGCAATAAAACAATTAACTTGGAAAAAGAGTTTTAAGCACAGAGATAAGCATAATCAGTTAAAGGAATGGGAAGGATGCAACTCTTATTATTGTTCAGGGATGATGTTAATTATGACAGACCATTATTTATTGCTTAAATAAAGTTGCCATCAAGTCAAGATGACTTACACAGACATGTCTGAGCGATGTTTTTGTAACTTTGCAGTCTAGCCTTTAGTTCTAGCCTTCCAAGGGTGGTGTTCTATCTAAGTATTAATCAGGTCTAATGCTGTTTACCTTTCTGGATCAGCCAAGGTTGTCCAGAAGCTGCCTCTTACTTATTAGTGTTGATTATAAATGGGAAGCCTATGTCTGCTTAGTATATTCTGCAAAAGAACTTGGTTTCAAATGAGACAAGTACAACCATTTTTTTCTTTAGCACTCACCTAACAGTTAAATTAAATCTATAAAAATATAGAAATGAGAGATAATAGGTTCAATTCCAGTTAAATAGTTCTGTTTGAGCAACAAGACTTTCCTGTCCTATCCATATCACAGCCACATACTCCCTTCCAAATGCCATTCCTAAATGTTGGAATATCCAGAACGGCATGGCATGTTGGATGGGACATTGCAGTGCAAGAGGGACATTATCAGTCATAGGATATTCTGCCAAGTTGAAAGCCTTCCACCACTTAAACAGGTTTGGATCCGATCCAATATTCTTTTTATTTGTAAATGTTGGCTTGGACTTATCAGAGCGTACAGTTGACACTTCTGTTTGCGTGAGGGTTTTGTGTATGTGTCATTTCCACTGCCCCTTCCACTTTTGGCTGTATTTGCCCTACTGATGGATCATCTTTTGAATCTTTGACAAGTCATAAGATCTAAGCAAATTTGTGAATATTCTGTGCAAAACTATGCACAAAACTGTTTTTTAACATATATATGTATATGTTATTTGTGCTTCCTGTTCATCTTTGTTTTATTTTATTCTCATGTCACTGACTTGAATTATTTGAAAGAGTTGGGGAGTGATATAAAATTAAACAGGGTAAACAGGATAATTTCCCACATCATTACCTCTCCTGTATTTACCGACAAGATAAGGAATGGAGATGAAAATATGCTTTTGCTATCTTTTTTGTGTTTGTACATGTACATTTCTGTGTGTCTGTGTTTTCATTTATATGCACATTCATAACTTACACTTTTTTGTCACTCAGCAATAGTATTAACTTTGGTCATTGTTGGCTTTTGATTTTCTGGAATGTAGGCACTGTTGTACCTACATTCCAGAAAATAGGATTTTTGCTAAGAAGCATTTGGATTTGTTCTTTTCAAAATGCCTATTATTATTATTATTATTATTATTATTATTATTATTATTATTAT